CAAGTGCAATGAAGGTTTAAAGGCTAAATCCTCCCGACACTTTCACCCACACAAGTCTGGATTGTGTGCTAGCTGAAACACCACTCTTCTGACAGACAAACAGGAGGTCGGGCGCCAACACCGAGCAAACAGAGAACACTCAAACAACAGGGTCTGGGGATAGAGACATTCACCTGCTCTTGAACAGAAAGCCATTTTTTCAGAGGGAATTCATAGATTATTCAATAACCACTCACACCCCACTCACTAACTTTGTCATCCACAAGACATTTGGGCTGCTCAAGGCCGATTTCCCATCCTTCCTGTTTTAGGGTGAGCTTTCCCAGATAATTTTATTCCTTTTATTACCATTTATAGTTCACAGTCTTTAATTTGTTACAGAGACTATTTCAACCTTCTCCCTTCCTCTGTCCAATAACAAAATAAGAACTGTTGCCCAATTCTTTCAGAGCTAGCAGGACCGTAAGAAACCCCCACTTCCTTGCTGAAGTTCTCCAGTGACCTACTCAAGGGAGGGAGACACTTGATCCAGAAGGGGGTACACAAAAAGATTGTCTGAGGATTTACCTCTTGCAAGACTGCACTCTTCTCCAGGTGTTGGAATGGGTTGGAACTCCCACCTGCAAAATAAAGAGAGTAAAAATCTCTCCAGGGATGGTGCTATGGGGAAGCAACTTTCTAACCAGACCCATACTTTAAAAACAGACTGAGCATTTCGGGTTGATTTTTTTCATGAACACCAAGCAAACCAGAGCTCCCTCTTTAAGTAATATTAATTAGATGTCTTCATGGCAGTCAGGGAAGTCAGAGCAGACAGGACATTCTTCAATTTGTCATCCCCTCCACAAGTAACTGACTTTGAGCCAAGGTAGACTGATTAGCTGTAAAATAACTGTGCTCCACTATATCCCCAAAGACCTATTTCCAGCCCCTGGGCTGGGAGCTTGCTGACAGTTAGAGCATCAATAAGACAGGCCTAGAAACAAAAGCTTAGACAAAAAGAAGTATTGCTTGCCAGACTGGTGAGTCAGGAGTGTTTTATGCCTCCCATATAAACCAATCAGGAATCCACCAGTAAAGTATTTTTGGCTCTATCACTAATTAAGATAACAAAACAGCAGACTAGATACACTGGACACAGAGTCACTTTCATTGTTCCACTTAACAAAATAAATTATACTAAATAATTAAAACCCTCACCAATTAAGGACAAAATAATCAGAGGGAAAAGCACTATCATTCTGCATGGCCTGGATTAGCTTGCCTCCCAAGCATTTGTGAGCTGCAGCTTTTCAAAAGCTGCCAGTTATTGATAAGCAGGTTTTAATTAGTACCTATGTTCAGCCTGGCCCTGGGACAAAACGCAGCCGTTTTCATGGCTGTGCCAGTGCTTGTTCCAAAGCCTGATCTGCCAAAGAAAACATGTCCCAGGGCCAGATCCGACCTGACCCAGGCATGAGGCATCCTAGGCTGGTGCCAGGAGCCCTGGCTAGAGTCAGCCTTACACCCAAAAGCAAACACATTTGCACTCTGGCTCCTTCCTGCTTGATAAACTGCCCTCCTCTGGCTCGGGAGAAGTTTGTAAAGGCAGCAGGTGGCTGAACAAAGCACGGACTTTATGTGGGGTTGAGGAGAGAAAACAAGGGAAAAGAGCAAAACCACCTCTAGTGTGAGTATGAACCAGTTCCAGTTTGAGCATGTGAATGTGTTCCAAAAAACCTGCCAAGCAGCACAGTATTCCCAGAGTCTACAGTCCCTAAATCAGCCATGAACAATCAGCCACAGCATTGGCTCTTCATCTTTCACAGCACTAAGGATCTTGAAATACATCGTACATGAGGTCTCAGTCCTCACAGCACCTTGTGCCAAAGTATTCTTCCATAGAGAAGGAGAAAGATGCAGGGGGGGCAGAGGCTGTGTGTTCAGGAAGCTCCTAATATTGGACGACTAGCAGCAATTTGTTTTAATTTGTAGAGAGACAGTCACTGGCAAAGCAAGGATCTCAGAACAATTTTATGCCCAAAATAACATGTCAAAGGGCATTTCTGAGCGGAAGCAGCCCATCCAAAGCTAGCTAAACTATCCACGGAAAGCAAAGAGACAGAAGCAATTAAGTGGATACACTCATCTCAACAAAGACTGTCCTGTTAGCCTTTACATGGAGAGAATGAGAATTCAAGGCCTGTAAATTCAGGGATGATGCATTCCACCTAATACTGAGAACATCAAGCACTCAGGATATACATTTTGGACATAGATACAGTCCACAGAAGAAAGGCAGGCACAGTAAATGCTAAGAATCTTCATTCTAGACAGAAGCAACAGGATGAGAAGTAAATGCAATAGCAAAGAAAAACTGCTGTGAAGCCACAAGCAGCAGTGGCAGAAAGAATAATGGAGGGTTCTCTGAGCTCCTGGCATGAACAAAGCCAACAAGACTCATCACCATAATACAAGGAAGTGCATCTCCTGCCAGCCTTGGCCATAGGTAATGTAAGTACCTTGAAGAGTGTGGCAGACGTAAATAAAGAATATTTCCCAAAAGGAAAGTAAAGAGCAATTCCCCTCCAAGAGCTGCCTCACTAAATTCTCTGCTTATCAAGATGTCACTGGAGGCTTTGGACAAGGGAAACAAGGGCAAAGCATTTAATGCACATTAAAATAAAAAGCAAGCAGAGTCACGCAGAACCATCACCAAGATTTACACTGAATCAATTTGCTGCAGGACAGGCTGATTTGTTATGCAGAGTAGTCTGCACAGAAAGCTTCATAGGAAGATGAAAAAGATACCACAAGGCACAATCATGAAAGTAAACGCTGTCTTATGAAGCATCAGTTCCACCTGAATTACACACCACAGAAAATATCAGAGTTTTCCTTACTACTCAGTCTAAAGTTCTGAAAGGTCAAGCTATCACTTCATGTTCCTTTGGTGCTCTCAGCTTTTCCTGATCCACTGAAAGTCGCAGTGATTGCATTGGAAGAGCAGACCATACGATTCAGAAAAAGTGCCAGAAATTACGAATAGGATTCTGCCTGGCTTTAGCACCTGGTTTGAGAGCTAGGCGACTGTGAACAGAGCTAATATGCTCAATATTTAGTCTCAGACCTTGCATCTGGTGATGTGGCCGGGTAACCTCGGCGTGTTGTGCCAATGCAACCGGTTTAGCCCCTGGCTGCAGCTGTGAGGAGACGGCAGCAGAGCAGAGTGCTTCTATGGTGCTCCTATGGTGCTTCCACGGCGTTTCCCACTGCGCTCCGTGCGCACCAGCTCCCGCTGCCAAGCTCTCCTGGGGGTCTCCCCGCACAGCTCCCCCCACTACTCACAGGAGGGGTCCCCCCTCACAGCCCCCCTCGCACCCACAGGAGGGCCCCCCCCTCACTGATCCCCTCCGTAGCCACAGGAGGATCTCTCCCCTCACAGCTCCCCCCATACCCACAGGAGGGGTCCCCCCCTCACAGCCCCACCCCGTACCCACGGAGGGCTCTCCCTCCTCACAGCGCCCCCCGCCTCCCCTCACCCGACTCTTCGTCCTTCTTGTCGAACTTCTTCAGCATGGTGCTGCCTCGCTGCGGCCCTCCCACCCCGTAGCAGTGGCAGTGGTAGTGGTAGTGGCAGTTCCAATCCCGGTCCCAATCCCGATATCCCGGTCCCGGTCCCGGCACCGCCCCTTCCTGCCAGCCTGTCACTGTCACGGCGGCGGCCGCATTGCGCACGCGCCAACCCGCCCCCCTGACGTAGCTCGCGGGGGCGAGCAGGAGGGGCGGGGCGCTGTGGCTTGATTGACAGGGGAGGAGGCGGGACCGGGCGGCAAGAGCGCGGTGTGATTGGCGGAGAGGCGGGGGCGGGGCCAGGGATCTTGGAGCTACCCTGGTTCTGGGGTTGTGCTGGGAATACTGGGGACACTGGGAGTGGGGTTAGGGGGAGCACACTGGGGGACTCGGCCTGGCGCAGGGTGCACTGGTACCAGAGGAAATACTGGGACTGGGGAGGGGCCCACCGGGATTCTTGGGGAGACACTGGGCAGGGGAAGGGCGGAGCGGGACACTGGGCAGGTGAAGGGACGCTGGGGACAGAGGGGGCTGGAGCGTGGGGTCACACTGGGGTTGGGGAGGGGAGATGGGGCGCTAGGGCAGTACATGGGAAGGAGATCCTAGCAGGGGCTCAGCACCCCAGGCGGCAACTGGGGGTGGTAGTGGGAAACCCCCTTCTCGGGATGGGCAGTTGTCACCTGGGCTGCCTGCCCTGGAGCATCCTGCTGGGTTGCACCGCCTCTGGAAGCGTCTCCTGGGCCCCCTGTCCCCACTGCTACCGGCATCCTGTACCTTGCACCCACAAACCCCAGGCCCAGCCCCGGAGCACCCACCTGCTGCAGTGGGGTGTCCTCAGGGGTCAGCGCTGCCCGACCATCCCCCGAGCCCTGAGACAGGCAGGGATGACAAAGGACCTGTTGGCCACCTCACCACCTCACCCCAACCCACCATCTACTGGCACGTCCCTTCACCAGCTACTGAAATATGTCCCTCCCATGGAACGTGGGGTCACCTGAGTTGCTTGGCCCCCTTTCCAAAGCCAGTGCCCGCTCCAAGGCCAAAGGGCTCACTCACCCTGCACCAGGTATTCCTCGAAGAGCATGGCCGTGTCCCCCACCAGCTCCAGCGGACCTCCCACGGGTGTCCCCCGGCCTCTGCCTTGCCTGCACCACCCTGTACTTTGCACGGGGCGGCCGCACTCTGCTCCGTGCTGCTCTTATCTCCCATCTGTGCCGAAGACGGTGGCTCTGGTGGCACAACACAACGTCCCTGCTAGTACAGAGCTGCTGTGAGCTCCCTGGGCCGGGGGCTGGCCCCACTGCTGGTGCTGCTGACACCCCTCATTTGGAGTTTAATGAGTTCCTGTGCTGGACCCAGCCCAAAACATGCCCTTGTTGCAACTTTGGGGAAAGGGAACACGAAATGGGGGTGTAAAGGGGTGCAAAACCAGTATAAACCAAAAAAAGTTTCATTTGATGCTGCATTTTATTGTGCATGCTCACCAACTCCAGCTCCAAGGCTCAGCCAAGCTTTGTGGAGGGTTTTGTATGCTGCAGTCACACAGGGAGAAGCAGCACACAGGAAAAGATGCCTGGCTGGATGCAGCCCCTTTGGAGACATCCCAGTGGTGGATGAGCAGGGAGCAAAGCCAGGCACAGAAATCCCCGTGGTTCCTGAGGCTGGGACTTGGCTGTGCTCCAGCGCTGGCCTGGGCAAAGGCAAACCCGGCTGTGTCTTCTCCAGTGGTGCTGAGGTGATGGTTATTAAACCAAATCCTACCATGGCTGCTGCTTGTGCCATGAGCACCGGGACTAGGGGGATGAGATGCTGTGTCCACAGCCCCCTGCAGGCACACCAGTGCCACTCCACACTTCCCTCCATCTGTGCCCCCCTGCCCTCTCCGGCCCTGCCTGAGCAGGCATGTCCCAGCCAGGGGAGTTCATCTCCTACGCCCGAGCTGGGCCATCAGCTCGGCATTGGCGGCCGCCTTGTCCTGCTGCTCCTTTTCTCTGGCCAGGTCGAGCAGGATCTCCAGTAAGTGTGTGTGGACATCAAGTGACAGGGACACCTTCCTCCCCTTTTTCCTGGGAGCAGGTCTCTTCGTGGCTGGGCTCGTCGGCCAAGGCAGTGCTTTCCTTGCTGACCCCTCTGGCAGCAGCGGGCTGGCTTTGTCTGGATGAGACCCTTCCCCAGAGCCAAAGTCGCCCCTCCTCATTTTGGGGAGAGCTGGCAGCATCTTGTTAGTGCCGGTGGTTTCCTGGCTGGTCACGTTACGTCCATCCCCAGCTCGGGGGGCTGGTGGGAGCCGCTCGAAGTTCAGTTCCTTTTGGGCTGTTGCTGGTGCCCCGAGGACCACCAGGAAGGTGAGCAGCATCCTGCCTCGCAGCACGGCCGGGAGCGCCTGCAGGGAGCGCGTGGTTGAGCATCACCCCCCCACCACACTGCCATGGCCCCACAGCCCCTCCAGCAGGACACATCCCCACCAGGGTGCCACATGTAGACCCTCCCTACTCCCCATGCCAACTGGGGTGGTTCACCTCCCTTTTGGGAACCCCTAATTTTTCCACCCTGATTGTAACCTTTTTGAACAGGGCGGGAAGTTTTGAGGAGGATGAAGGGGATGTGGGAATCAAATCAGTGGGGTGCCCCTGTCCTTTCCCACAGCCCCTGGCCAGACACTGGCTGTCAGCTCCATTTCACACTCTCCTTTGTCACCCAGGGTAGGGGACATTCCTTCTCAGGAGGCTGCCCTGGGAGTGTGGCTGCTCCCCAACCCATTACTGCCCTTTGGCCAGGGAAAGGTGACGTGCCCGGGATTTTGGGGCTGGGCAGGCTGTGGGGCTTTCTTCCTCCCACGCCTTCCCACAGGGTTCCTGGGCTCTCTGGGGCAAAAGCCAAGCTCCCTAGGAGGGATATGAACCACCTGGCCCAAAATACACAGCAGATTGGTGGCAGTGGGGTGACAAGGGCATGAGTTGTGCTGAGCCTCCACCCCATCCCTCACCCTCGTCCCAAGGAGGGCCCTGGGGGTTCCAGGGTGCTGTGATTGGAGATGGGAGTCAGAACAAGTGCAGGGGTACTGCTGCACAAATCCTGCTGTATTGGTGCCTCTCCCCCAAATCAGTCACCCAGTCAGGTTTGTCCAGCTGGAAGGAGAAAAGTGAAAGGCACCCAACCTGCTGCAACTTATCTCCTGGGTGAAACCCTTTGGAAAGTCCCAGAGCAGGTAGCCAGAGGTGGTTTAACTCACCTGGAAGTGGGCAATGAAAAACATCCAAACCCTTGCAACCTGTTTCCCAGCTAAAAGCCCCTGAAAAGCACCACTGAGGGCACAGCCTCACCATTTCCAGCAGGTCTTCGTCTCCCCGATGCTCAGGCAATGCTCCTACAGTGCAGGGACCACGAGCTGGGTATTTGCCCTGCTCCCTGCCAAGCCCTTGCTCTTATCCTGTCCCAGCTCCACCTCTGACCCGCAGAGGGGGTGACGGTGACATGGGGAGGGGGGATGGGGGAGGAATGTTATTAATACATTTTGTCTAATAGCAGATGAATCATCCCGGGATGTGGGTGGGTGTGTGCCCCCTTGCAGCTCCATGAGCTGCATTTAGAGGGGGTTCCAGGAACCTGGGGCATCTCAGTCATAATTGTTTCATATCTGACTTGTGAGATGTTTCTTCTCCATCTAATTAGGCCTGTCAGACTTCCTGCTCCTGTCAGCCTTAAGGAAGGGAGAAAACATGCATACTGGTGCTGGCCAATGGCCATGGCACTGGCTGTGAGTGCCAGCCCTCTGGGTATTGTGCCTCAGGAGGCTCCTGGATATCTCCTGGTACTGGTCTGATGCTGTGTCCTGATAGACTTCCTGGCCCTGGCCAGCTGGAAATGTCACCTCCCTGCTGTTCCAACTGTTTTGCAGCCCACCTTCACCGAGTCTAACTGTGATGCCACCAGTTTGCAGCCTACCTGTACCAGTCCAGTCTGGCCCAGCCCCTCTACCAGCTGCCCGTGGTAGGTAACAGCCTGTAGGCATTGCTGTGGGGTGAGTCCCACATGGAAGGGCTTTGCCCCAAAGCCCCCTGCTTAGGGACTGTGGGAGCATCCCAGGTCTCTCAGGCCAGGCAGGAACCTGCATGAGATGAGCTGTTGAGTGCTCAGCCCAGAGGGCTGGCCAGGGCAAGAAGCCAGGGTGCTCTGGGTTCAGACCACTGGGGGTCTACCCACCCTCATGGCCGCAGGGTGACTGGTCCTATGCCACCCTCCCCAGCAGTGGCCTGGAGTAGAAATAATGCTAGCTCTGTTCCTCCTCCTGGGGACAGTCAGGAACTCACACCCAGCAGCCAAAATTAGCACTGATTCACACAGCACATCATGCAGCACCACAGACTCATGTGCTGACACGTCAGGGCCTGGACAGGGGTCATGGCCTGGCTTGCGTCAGCTGGGCACAGGGATGGGACACTGGGTTCCCTCAGGGGGGTGAGGAACCCCAGCCACTGCTGCCAGCAATGGGCAGCAAGAAAGGGCAACCCAGCTGGGGTGGGCAGGGGGCATACCTGACTCAAGAGCCGTCCCCAAACTCCACGGGCATCTCCAGCAGCATGCCAAGAAGCATGACACCTCCCTGTGAGCACAGCTTTAATATCACATCCCTCTCACATTGGTACACATATACATTCGCTGTATACAGATATACACAGAGAGCAGCGGTATGTGTGGGGGCCACAAAGCCCCCCAGCGGCCTCTCAGGCCCTGGGGCAGTGAGGGGCACATTCCTGTCAGCCCTGGGGTTGGAGGGAGGCAGGGGCTGCGACCCCGGGAGCCGACATCGCTTTCACAAAGCCTTTGAGAGTAAGCGTGGGCAAGCAGGAACCTCTTCTAACATAGCACCATCCTCAGGGTTTCCCTGATGGGCCAGGGATGCAGGTGAGTACCCCCCCGACTACAGACTGATGTGCTGCTGGCAGTCATGTGAGCTGGGGGGCAGCACATGGAGAAAGCCTCCAGTCTCCCCACAGGTCATTGCCAAACCATCACAGCCACAAAAGGGGAACTGGGCCCCAGCTGAGGTTAAGGTGAAATTCATTCAGATGGAGCTGGTTGCAGGGTGGGGGTGGGGGATGATATGCAGGGGGGTACTGCCTGGCCCAGGGATGCAGGCAGCTCTCCCAGCAGAGAGAGGAGGGGAGCCCAACCCTGCCAAGTCCTTCTGGGCTGCCAGAGAGGGGGGACAGGGATAAGAACCATCCTGTTGGCAGCAAATAATTTAAAAATCAAACTGGAACAGCCCAGGAAACCTCCGTGGGGGTTCAGAGCCTTGGTGGGAGGTGGTTTCCCATTTGATATAAATTTCACCTTAACAACAATAAAAGTGGTGTGAAATGAAAAACCCATGAGCAGCATAAAGACACGTTAGAAATAGCACCAGGTTCCTGCCAGGGGCTGGTGGGTACGTGGCCCCCACCACCACGGGCAGCCCAGCCCCAGCTGGGGTGGCAGCCGGGCCCCACCTCCAGGCAGCCCTGCCTGCCGGGACACTGCCCACACCTACACCTTTGGCTGCCCTCCCATCTTGCCACCGGCAACATCACGGGCACCTGTGGAGAGAGGTGAGGTGGTGTCAGAGCCAAGGTGGGGGACCAGCATCGTGCCCCCAGCTCTGCACTGCTGAGCCCACGGGCACCGGGTGGGGATGCTGCCAGGCCTGCTGGTGCCGGTGGCTGTGCCAAGCCCTGCCTACCTGCCCCTGGGCGCTGCCTGCAGTGCAGCTCACACTCCTCCTTGCTGTCGAAGCGGTTGAGGTTGCCCTGGCAGCCACTGTAGACAAAGGGCCGGCACTCAGTGACTCTTTGGTTGTAGTACCAGCGCAGGGTGTAGTGCTGGCAGTGCCCCTCATCCAGCGGCAGGCTGCAGGGCTCAGCTGCGGGGGCAAACAGTGATGGTGAGGGCAGGCAGGAGCTGGCAGCACACTGGCCGTGCAGGCAGCCAGGCACACTTGGCAGAGGAGGGGAAACTCCAGAAGGAGAAGGCAGGGGATGGCTCCCAGCTGAGCATGGGCAAGGTTTGGCTGGAGGGGGCATCTCTGTGCTCTGCCCAAGTGCTGGAAGTGAGGGCAGGAGATGCCGCTCTAGGCAAGCCCTCTTCCAGGGGCAGCCAGCAAAGGCTGGAGATAAGAGCTGGGAGGGAGGTGGCATGGCCACAGCACACCTTGGAAGGGTTGTGGGGGGACCTTCTGCATGCTGCTGACACTGGGGCTTCCCTGATCTCCTGGGGCCTTTGAGATCCCCTCCTGCAGCTCATGACCAGGAGCACAGGAAACCTGCCAGGGGCAGCAGATCCCACAAACACAGCAAACCACCCATCACTGCTGGTGATGGCTTCAGCAAGGGGAACAGAGTGTGAAGTCTGCATGGCGTGTACAGCACTGTGCTCCGATGGGGACGGCACAACGTACCCAGATACCAGCAATAGGGCTGCAAATCCTAAATCCCCACAGCCAGAAGGCACAGGGACCCAATGCCAGGCAAAGGCCTGGGGCAGCCCTGGGGTCACCCCAGGTCATCCTCAGTGTCAGGGAAGCTCACCATCCATTGCAGGTTGCTCCGAGCTGTCCATCTCCGGGGCCTCATCGTAGTCCTCCTCCTCCCCATACATGCTGTCGTACTCGAGGTCATCGGTGTCGAGACTGATCTCCCTGTCCTGCCCTGGGAGACAGCACCAGGCATGAGCAGCTCTTGCCACACATGTGGAGCAGGGAAAAAGGAGGACAGGGAGATGACAGACCCTCCTCCTCTTCAGTGTGTGACAACTTGAGCACAGGGACTGTGTGAGTGCTGCCAGCGGACTCTGTGAAGGGGAAGAACATGGCACAGGCATCAGGGAAGAGGTGAGGAAGTCTGGGGCACTTTCCCCTTCCTTCCCAGGGGAAACCCACGCCTGTCAGGTGCAGGACAGTCCAGCACTACCACAACACTTCTGCAGCCTGACAGGATACATGGACAGGGGTTGGGGACCTGGGAACACCCTGTCCTCTCTGTGCACCACAGACCAGGGCTGCCAGGGGCTTCTGGAGGGCAGACAGGCAGGAGAGGCCCGGGGAGACAGCACCCACTTAGAGCCCAGCAGGATGGGGACAGGGGAGGGCACAGGCAGGCACACATGCCCACGGGGCCAGATCTTGTAGGTCCTCTGGGCTCTCCATCACCTGTTTGGCCATGCTCCCTCTCCTGGCGAACGATTCTTCCTCCTCCCTGGGCAGAGCGGAAGCTGCTCCTGGCCTGAGCCCCCCAGCCTCCTTGGAGAGAAAGGACCCACCTCATCCCAGCCCACCCCTTGCTTCCATCCCTCCAATCCCACTCCTCCAGCCCACCCTCCCCTCCAGCACTCCTGACCCCCGAGAGATCCCTGCCCCAGCTCTGACACCCAAGCATGGATGGGGTGCAGTCCTCGTGGTCCATTCACAAACGGGCAGACCCTGGCAGCGCCCAGACCCCACTGGTACCATCCCAAGCCAGCTGTCCTTGGGGATCCCTGCTGAACCATCACTCCTGCCACACACCATCCCTTCTCCCTGTGCATGCTCCCACATGGATGCTGACCCTGAATGAGGGGGTCATGGAGGGCCCAAGCCACATCCAGCTCCCCAAAACTGGCGGCACACCCGGGTGCCAGGACCCTTTGGTGCCACACGTGCAGGGCAGGGGGGTAGAAAGGAAAAGCCACAACCTGAGTGCTCACGTGAATCCAGGTGCCGTGGGAAGTGGCCGCCGCAGGCTGTGGGAGAGACAGGACGGGGGTCAGGGGCAGCAGGGCCAGACTCCCAGCCCCAGGGCAGCAGAAGGGGTGCTCACCACAGTGCTGGCTCATCTCCTGCCTGACGAAGGCACGGATCTCGTCCTCCTGCCGGGCACATGGAGGGGCAAAGGTCCCACATTGCAATAGGGGATGGTGCAATTAAAGAGGAGAAAAAACCCTTTCCCCAGGCCCCAGCAGAGCCCGGAGGTGGGGGCAGCCCCTCCATCAGTGGCAGTGGGATCAATCCAGCACCCCTTCCCACCCCGGTGACCCAAGTGCCATGAATCTATGCTGGCTCCCTCCTGGTTCCTTACCGTCAAGCCCGGCTCCCCCTTCTCCCCACGGAGCCCACGGGTGCCAGGACTGCCCTAGGGACAGTAGAAAGAAGGTGGGACACTGGCCCTGGCTGGGGCTCCACCGGGCAGGGCCAGGCACCCGCTCACCCACCTGCTCTCCTCTCTCACCGGGGATGCCAGGAACGCCACGTGCACCCGGCACTGACTGTCCAGGGGGGCCTCTCTCCCCCTGCAAAGGACACATGCTCAGGATCTGGCTGGTAGTGCTAGAGTCTCTCTGCTCTCCTCAGCACTATGGATGTGCTGCTTTCCCCACCCCTGCACCCCGGAGATGCCTGTGCAGGCTGGGATGGGGATGGGTCCAGCTCACATCAAGGACAAGCAGGGTCGCAAACCCCTCAGGCTCCTATCCACTGGGCAGGGGGACACAAGGGAGGACCCCAAAGCCAGTGATCTGACAGGGCAGGACAGAGCCGAGACATAACTTCAGATGCCACCAATCCCTCATCCACTCAGGGGACCGGGCCCTCCCTTCCTAACAGCCCCCAGAGAGGGACCAGCCACCCATGGTGAGGACTCACCTTCTGGCCCTGCATGCCCTCAGGACCTCGTGGGCCAATGTTCCCTGGGGGGCCAGGGGGGCCAGGAGCACCATCATTACCCCGGGGACCGGGGCCACCAATAATGCCAGGGGCGCCCTGCAGGAGAGCAAAGGGTGAGACCAGGGGTGTCAGAGACCCTGACCCCAGAGTAGGTATCATGGGCATCCTCTGACCCCACAGCTGGGCATCCCTGAAGCACCGGCACTGGTGCCTTCTTGTAAAGAGCGGGGAGAGTTTTTGTCACTCATAGTTCAGTGATATAATTTAGAGCAGCGCCAAATGACTCTTCTGGAAGCGTCAGGCTCTGATGTGCTTCTGACCAAGGCCATATCCTGGTACAAGCAATGAAGTGCAATGCATCCCATCTCTTTCCAGCTCACTCACCCGGTCTCCTTTCTCCCCCTGATCTCCTTTAGCACCCTGCTGCCCGTCAAATCCCCGGTCACCCTGCAAAGAGGAAGGGACAGGCAGCAGGGGACAGGCAGCAGGGGGGAAGGCTGAAGTGCCAGCACAGCTTTTCCCAGCACTGCTCTGACCT